CAGTATAGTGTTTTTACACTTAGATGTTTGAGATATCCAGTACATAGATAATAGTAAAATAGAGAACAATAATTAGGAGCTGATGGGTTGAGTTTGTGTTTAACATGATTTATTTAATGGTGAGTGTTCTGGGGGAAACGAGCATCCTGCAAGTCCCTGTGTGTTTGTGTCTGTGGCACACAGCAGATGTCACTGGAAGGACATGAAGAGCTGGAGGTGAAGTCAGAACAGACCACTGGCAGGAGAGGAAGGGACAGCCAAATCAGGCAAGCCCTGGGAGGTCTTGTTCACAGAACAGTAAACTGGCAGGAGAATTTAAAGTTTGAGTATAAAATAATTAGATTTATTATTTTTTTAAGTTTTGGTTTTTGAAACAGGGTCTTCCTGTATTACCTAAGCTGGCCTCAAACTCACGATTTCCTGCCTCAACCTCCATTGTACTGATATTATGGGAATGTGCCACCATGCCTAGTTCCGGGTTTATGTTTTGTGCGTCTGTTCATGGTGTGTGTCTGTCTATCTGTCTATAGAGTGGTGGTGTGTGTGTGTGTGTGTGTGTGTCTGTGTGTGTCTGTGTGTGCATGCATGGTTACTAGTGCCAGGGAACATATGTGGACGTCAGAGGCAGGTGGATTCTATCCTTCTACCATGTGGATTCTGGGGATTGAACTCGGGTCTTCAGAGATGACAGCAAATGTCTTTACCCACTAAGCTATCAGACCAGCCCGAGGGACACTACTGTACTGGCATAAGTGGGAAAAGGTAATAACTTGGATTAAGAAAATAGTATTGGAGAATAAGAGAAATAGAAGGGTACCAAACAAAGCGGGGATAGATTAGGGGCAAAATGGATTAAGTCTTTGTGATTCTTAGTTGTGTAGCAAAATAAGACCATCTTCCAAGTGATAACTCAGTACAAAAAAGAAATTGAAACTCACTCCTTCTGGAAGATTAAACCCTGCATGTATTTTGCCTGATGTATGACAGGAGTCCTTTGAATTACTCCTGGTAAATGCCTTGTGTCTGATGTAACATATGGCCACTGTGGCCTGCAAGAAGCCTTCCTTCTCAGCAAGTCAATTTAATTGTCCACTAGGGATTACTGTGGGAATACAGTGTTAAATAAAGCATGAGAAAATTTAATTTGTCACTGCTGTAATAAAATACGATTTATTTCTATATATAATTTATCAAAACATTTAAATCATACTTTCTACGTAAAATGAAATTAGAGTTAGGAAACAGTACTGAAACACTTGATCAAAGTGCCCAGATAGAAATTACAAATAACAGTAAGTCCTAAAATACCATATTAAACAGATGGAGCCTCCTTGACGTTCAGTTTTCCCAGCCAGGGAAGCCGTGCGTGCTGAATATCAATGAGGAATCATCTCCACATTTCCCTGAGAGCAAAAACTAGGGCTTCCCATCTTTAAAACCCAGGCTTCCTATTCAACTTCCTACCGAATACACAAACAGTGCAGGGGCGGGGCAGGAGGGTGTCTCATCCAGGTGAAGGGCAGAGGTGAACGAGTGATGTCCGCTCGGCCCTTGTGGGAAGAGACCTTGCCATCACTCTACAGGCATAGCATACGCACCTCTCTGGTGTAAACAACTGAGCTGTCACGGTGACTGCCCCAGAGGCTGTTGGGGGCCTGGGGAACTTCCAGCTTCTTGATATACCAGTCCCAACGCACTCTTGTGGGTGCATGGTAGATCACCGATGTGTGCATTTTCCAGCCAGCAGGGAAAGGTAAAAGAGAAAGAGATTATTCGTCACCTTGGTGAAGGCTTTAAAATAGATTTTTAAGAGACATGGTCCCTTATCTGTGTATTGGTGTATGTGTGCCCGCTCACCTCACGTGAGTACAGATGTGAATGCATATGCGCCTGGGGAAGCCAGGAGAGGCATCCAGCACCCTTTCCCATACTCTGTTATTTCTTTGAGGCGGCATCTAAGTCCAAGTCCCTAAACTTGGACTTCACAGTTCCTGAGCTAGACTGGAGGCCAGAAAGCTCCAGCAATCCTCCTTTCTCCTCCTGCCCTGGGGACTGGGGACGTAGGTGTGTATGGGACGCCTGGTGTGTGCATCCTGGGATCTGAACTCCAGCCTTCATGATTGCGCAGCAAATGCTCTTAAGCACCAAGCAATCTCTCCATCCCTAAAAACAATTATTTTTACAGTCTTTTTGACTGTGTTTTAAACAAATTCCAGGCATTGGATCTCTTCCTTTCCTATCTTCCTCACCTCCATTCCTCTTCCCTTTCTTCCCTTACCCCCTCTACCCCATTCCCCATCTTCTTCATGCCCATTACTCTTGTCTGGTTTACTTGTATCGTACATTTTTCTATTTTCTGGATTTTTTCAATTCTATCTCTAGGGTATCCTGTTTCTTGTGTTTTTGGGAAAATGATCGCTAGATTTCCAAACCTGTGCTCAGGTTCCGCTTTGACTTTGATGGACTGGGAGTGCAAAGACAATGCACTTCCCTTATGGTCTTCAGCACCCCCAGCACGAGGAACATAACCTCTGGGTTTCATTCCTTTGCAATGTGGTAGCTGTAATGGCTTAAATCAGAAATGTCCTCTACACTCTCATCTTTTGAACGCTGTTTGGGATGCTGTGGAATCTTTAGCGAGTGAGGCTTAGCTGGTGGAAGTAGGCTGCTGGTTCCAGTACCCTTTCTAGTGTACAGACATACATACATGCAATGTAAAACACCTATACACATTAAAATTTTTAAATAAATGTTTTGCCTTCATGGATGTCTGTGTGAAGGTATTGGGTCCCCTAGAACTGGAGTTATAGACAGTTGTGAGCCGCCCTGTGGGTGCTGGGACTTGAACCTGGGTCTTCTGAAAGAAAAGTCAGTGCTCTTAACTGCTATCTCTCCAGCCCCAAACAAGTATTTTTACAATTCATCTTGATTAGTGGGAGTGGGAAGGGTCAGGAAAGGGTAATGTGGATGGGAACGACTGATTGAAATACCTTTGAGCATGGCATAATGAAAACCATAAATGTGAGTGATTAATGTATGCTAAAACATGTTTAAAGCATGCCACACCACACACCACACACACACACACACACACATATATACATACACCACATACACATTATACACATCACACACCACACACACACACACACACACACACACACACACACACACACACACAC